TGCAATGAAAGTACTCAAAAAATGGCGGATACAGCTGCTAAGATCACCAAACAATAGTGACAGGTTCCCGTGGTGACCTGAATTGCTTTTGTGGAAATCTTTTTTTCTTTTTTTCTTCTTGTCTTTTTTTTTTTATTATTATTTTATTTTTTTTAAATTATTTCATCCCAAGCAAGGCAACAAAGCCACTAACATTCGGGGGGTTACTGAGTATGAAAGAATGTAAGAAAGCCATTATTAAGGAGTAAGAACAATAAAAGAACAGAAATTAAGATGACAGAAGATAACAATTTACATTGCATTTAAATTTTTGAAGATCAAACTTGACTGGGAAGCAAGATACCAGAAGAAAATTTCACAAGTGAGAAGTGTCATTATAAACTAGTTTCTACTTAATTTTATTACTGGGTCTTTTTTATTTTTATTTTTTTTTTTTTAATAAGAATGCAATTTGTCTATTAGTAATGGTATATTAGCCTTTTCCTTATACAGAATCAATCAGCATTCATTGACCGAGCAGCCAGTACTACTTTTGGTTGAAATTTATAAAATCTTTCTCTTAAAATAATTTTTCAGGAAAATAGGTTTCTCAAGTCCAGTAGGTGTTATCACTCTTTCCATTATTGATGGCGGTCTTCTTCCTAACCTTTTATATGAAGTAGTGTAGAATGTCAACATCTTGATTATGTCATTGTTTTCTCTTCTCAAGTCCAGTAGCTGTTATCACTCTTTCCAGTTTTGATGGGAATTTCCCTCCTAATCTTTTATTTGAAGTAGTTAGGAACATCAACATCTTGAGTTACATGTAATATCCATTTTATCTGTTGCTGCTGTTGGTAGTCCTCAAGTGATGTGGTTTCTATTATCTGGTACAGTTCTTTGTTTGTGATTCTTTAGCATTAGTCCGTAATGTTTGATAAAGGATGGTCTTTGTCAAGATAAACAGGTTTCAATCACTCGAAACCATTAAAAGTGATTGTATGCAACTGACAGTTTAGATGTTTCTGAACATGTTTGGTGCTGTGCATGACATCCACATGAAAGTCTTGATCTGACGAGGCTATTAGGCAAAAATTAACAAGTTATACACTTTATTTATGTATTTATTTTTTAAGATTCACTGTAAAGTTTTCCTAAACAAAACTTTTTATTAAAAAATAAAAAATAAAAAAATGAACCTGCCTCTTAAAAAAATTCTAGTTTGTCTAGTGTGAATTTTTAAATGAAAATGTAATAAATAAAACTACCTTTGATTCATTCTATGAATATATTTATAAAATTTAGTTTAGCACAAGGTCATGATAGTGTAGCACCTATTGAGACAGCTGTTAGTAGGTTCACCTCTCAATAGAGTAGAATAAATGCCATCTCTAAATATACAGTGATTTTTATTCTGCTTTCCTTTCTCGCATTATCAGTGCAAACATGTGTTAACATGTGCTGTTCCTCCAGGTAAGTGCTCTCTATATCAAATCAAACAGGTCAGATAGAAAAATACAATTTCATTTAAAAAATAATTAGGGCTATTAAATATATTCTTTTTATCATTATCTCAATGATTTAGCCAGCTCATTTTACAACATTCCAGCATATAATCTGTACAGAAAGAAAGAAAGATGATAGTAAACAAGAAAAATGGTGGCAGATCTATGGATTAGACCAACCCATTCACACCAACAAATATAACACAAGGCAAATCCATATCTCTTTTTTCTTTCTTTTTTTTGTGCTGCCAAGAAAAGGATCCCCACCCTTTTTCCCATTACAGTTGTATATCTGTAGAAATGTGATGAATGCAACAAAAACAGGGGAATATTAGTTTGGTAGTCTAAATAACTCTTAAAATTAGAAGCTATAGTATTAAATATGTTTTTTTTATCATTATCTCAAATAATATATTTAATAATATAAATTATATATAATCATATATTAAATATATGTTTTTTTATCATTATCTCAATGATTTAGCCAACTCATTTTAAAACATTCCAGCAAAGCAAGAAGATGATAGCAGTAAACAAAAGAAATGGTGGCAGATATATAGGTTGGACCAACTCATTCACAGCAACAAGTGTAGCACAAGGCAATTCCATATGTTGTTGTATTTTTTTTTTTTTTTTTTTTTTTTTTTGCCAAGAAAAGGATTCCCCACTCTTGACTCTTAAAATTACAGAAGCTATAATTTATTTTACTTTGTAAAAATGCTTATAAAAGATGTATGCTCTACTTGGACAAGATTTATTTCTTGGTAATATGCCAGATTATAAATGTCTGATTTACTCTTCTTTATAAACAAAATGGCTGCGCCACTATTTTTGATTGATATGTGGATTTTGACCACTGATCTTTGTTATGGCATTTATTTTTCATTTTAATGGTTTTAATGTTTTTGTTTATATTAAGATGTATGAATATCTTGTCACTCCTTGTTGCTTTTTTAAAATAGAATATTGCATCTTTTACCTGAATTTGTTTGTTTTTTTTTTTATTTGCAACTTCATTTTTCTTTCATCAGTTAGGATCTAAGTTTAATTATGATTTATACCATCGGATGTTATACAGAAATTTTTTTTTATTTTAACTATAAATTGTCAGTTTCATTATTTATTACAAAGTTTTATTTTTACTCTCAATTTTATTTTTATTGATTATTTTTTTTAAATATTTTATTCCTGATAATTTTTAAAAAATTCTAGTCTCTGTAATTTTTTATGATGAACACTTCAACTGTCTAGAAGATTGGAATGATTTGTCTTCAGTTGCAGTTTCTAAAAACTTCCTTGTAAAAACATACATTTCATTGGCCAGTAAATAAGGCATTACATTCTGGGAATGCAACAATTTTGTTTTTTCTTTTCTTATGTATAAAGTCAAAATAAAATTCAAGGACAAGTTATTAATAAAGAATGCCATGTAAAATCTTCATTGTTAACAATAGCTTCAAAAACTTACCATTTTTTTTTTAGATGATTTTTTTTTACCTGTTTTATTAAAACATTATCCATTGTGCACTTCTGTCTAATACTCTACCATTAAAATATATTGTGTTCTCATTAATTTATGCCTATGAACAAAAATTGGTCATCAAGTGTTTTAAAAGGATCTAAAGAAAAAATATGATGAAATTCTATGTTAATAACAATTCTAAGAAGCAAATGAACAATTGAAAAATATTTTTGTTTAGGATGTTGAAACTAATCAAGTGAAGAGGGAATGAATAATTAAGTGTATTCTCTTTAAGGGTCATGTCCCTTCAGGATGTAGATGGCTCTCCATACTTTTTAAATATTCATGAACTGTGTATTATCATATTTCTTGGTTTCTTGTTGCTTTCTCAGGTTTTGAATTCAGAGTTGTCCTTGTACACTGGTTACCAACCAAATCCTAGAGAGCTCAGTTTTCCTTTCTATTAAAACTATAATCAGAGTGGGGAAGAAATGGATTCATGCCTTTTCAAAATGTGTGAAGTGAATGCACACTCAAAATTTGAACTTGGCCTGCTTATTCCATTTTCATACTGTTGACTGTCAGGCCATGCACCTTTCCAAAGGTGTTGTACTGAACTGAAAATTTGACTCTATTCGTAATGTTTGCTTTATGCATTTTACTTTGTGTCTCTTTTCATTAAGAATGACAATAAAATGAAATTGATATAAAGATAAGACACTATAGGGAAAAAATTTGGAGCCCCCCCACACACACACTTGAATTTAAAAGAAAAAACTCCTTAAAGTGAAATATGTTTGTATTTTTTTAAAGTAAAAGGTAAAATTTCAGTAACTAAAGCATATTTGCTTTTATTTTTCTTTCTACAGGCTCCTCTTACTACTAAAAACTTCAAATTTGGATTCAGCTATCAACAATACATTTTGCTAAATTATGAATATTTTGTGTGAAAAACATTTTATTTTCACCATTAACCTCTCATTGGACTTTTTGAGATTACCAAAAGGACTGGAGATTTGATTCAGGTCAAGGTAATCATGAAAAAGAACAATATCATTTGATTTAGCAAAGACATGCTATACCATCTGGTTTATACATAACTGGGGAAAAATTCACCTTTCAACAAGACAATGATCCAAAAGACTCTTCAAAATTACCTTGAGTCAAAAAAAAAAAAAAACATTTTTTTAAATTATGACTTGGCTGCCTCAATCTCCTGACTTCTCTCCCATTTATAGTATGAATTGGATAGGAGAGTTAAAAAGAGAATACCCAAAGAGTGAGAATGAGCTTTTTCCATGCTTGAAGAATGCTTGGGATGGTCTGCCATCTACCTTTTTTCTTTTTTTCAGAAACTATTGAAAAGAATGCTAAGAATTTATAAAGCAATAACTAAGGCAGGTGGTGGTTTTATTGATGAAAAAAAATATGATGTTATATGATAATTTTTTTATAGTTAGGTGATTATTTTTTTTTTTTTTTTTTTTTTTTTGTCAAAATAAAAGCAAATACACTTTAGTTACTAAAATTTTATCTTTAAAAAAATACAAAAATGTCATTTTAAAGTGTTTTTTAAATAAATGCTGAATAGCCCCAAACATTTTGCCTCTTGTGTAGATGTCAGAAATTAATAATGATGACACTAATTCAACTAAGAAATTTGGATAGATTAAAATTGTTATCTCTCTTTTGATGTACAGGTAGGGTTAGCAGCTTCAAATGAAAAATCGGTGAGATATGTTTGAATTCTGGTCAATTCATTCCATTCACTAAGCACCTTTAGGAAAAGTATAAATCCACTGCTTTCTTGCAAGTTATTGATTAAATAACAGCACAGACCTGGGCTCTCTGTGGTTGGCAACTAGTCTAGGAGAAGGGTGACTTTGAATTCAAAACTGTAGGTAGCCTTTGATGAGCTGCATACTATATAGTCATGAAAAGTATTATGGAGTTTAAAATAAACTGTTGTGAAAAGTTATGCCCTTTGTGATCTCAACTTGTACTGTACAATCTGGCTGTGTTTGAGTAAATGTAAACATCTATTCACAATGTTATGGCTATATCATGTTAAAACACTGGTTTCCATACAATCACTTAAGTTAAGCAACATCGAGCCTGGTCAGCACCTAGATGGGTGACAGCTTGGGAATACTAAGTGCTGTAAAGATGGATGTGCAGGTGGTGTAATGGATAATGGCTAAAAATTGTTCATCAGATAGCTGAGTTCCAATTCAAGTTGGATTTGTCATATTCACTTACACATAAATACCCTTAAGAAAGGTATAATTCTGCCACCTTCTGCTCCACAGCTCTGGGTTAATTAGTAAAACCTGTATTGTTAAATTATTATCTCCATAAAAAAAATTCTTACAGTCTAAAAGTGTTGTCTATCTTTAAATAACCTGTATAGGGTTGATAAGCCATTAAAAAAAAAAATCAATATTTCCTGTTAGTTTATGTTTATTGAGTGTATTGCAGCAAAGAATTCAACAGCAACTTAGTTTATCAATACAAAACTGAAACAGCTTCATATTACTTTTATCTTTTACTGGGCGACATATTGGCAGAAATGAGAACATTGCCACAAGTCGCATGGCGGCTGATTTGCTTGCATTTGCAAATCACTTGGGTATGTAAATCACTTCAGTTGCATATACAAATCACTTCAGTCAATAAAAGCAAGAAATCAGCTTGATGCCCTGAGAAAGAGTGAAGACTGGAAGCTAATGAAGACCATTACAAGTAACACAAACATATATTAGAGTAAATTGTTCATTAAAAGTACTTTGTATTTCAGACCTAAAGTGAGTATAGCAGAGAGTGATATTTATCTAGTAAATAAAGAAACTCTTTCAATTAATACAACTGTTCTAGTAAATTATATCCAAGCTATTTCTATTAGTGTATATAATTATCGTTTGTGTGTGGGTGAGATTAACATCTTGGCACAATGAGTAGTGAAAAAGTTATCGTGAAATCTCTAACACCAAGAAATTTTGTCAGTTGTATACACAAAACCAATTGAAATAATAAATAAAATGTGCTTTATCTATTGACTAACTAGTTTGTACCTCACTGCTTATAAGAGAGCAAACACTGGAATTAAACAAGGCAGCAAAATGGTCCATAACAAATGGGCCACTTCTAGCAGAATCATGAGCAGAATAAGACAAGTAACAAAACTCTGGGTGTATAGCTTCTTGTATATGCTGAGTCATGAAAAAAAAAAATAGAATGAAAATAAAAATATATAAACAAAAAGAATTCAAATTAAAATAAAACATTTACATTTTCCTTTAAAACCCTTATTTCTTTCTCTCTCTCTAAACTTTTCTGTATATACTTCTCTCTCAACTAATGAGAAGGCAATCCTCAAATAAAAAAGGAAGAAAAGACTGAACCCTGCAAAACAGCAGATTTTGCTCGACCAGAGTCTAGCCATTTCTGACTAAAAACTACCAAAAGTCAGAGAGGCTTCATGCATAATTTCCGCTATATTAAAAAAATGAAAAAAAGGAACACTAGAAAAAAAAAAAAGAAAAAAAATGAGGCCAAAATTAACACAAAGAAACTTTTTATGTTAGCTGAAACCAACGTTCACTTCAGTAGTTTGGGGACCTTGTCAAAAGGATATAAACTGAGATCCCTGAGGCAGAAGAGAAACCAGCCATGCCTGTCACATAAAGTTAAAACATTTTTTCTTAGTGCCGAGAAAGGACAACAGATTGACACCATATCTATTTCTAAGATAATAACTACTACCAAGGTCTAACTACTAAACTGTCACCTACTGAACTGAATTGGACTTTCTCCTGATTGCTACCAAGATCTGCCTTATAAACGAATTTTTGTTACACCAAATATCAAAGGACTCGCTCCAATCTAAATCAAATAAATAAATAAATATATATATATATATATATATATATATATATATATATATATATATATATATATATGGCCCGGCGTTGCCCGTGCTTGATTCAAAAATCCTACGACTCATACAGCAATCGCTATCACTTGATTTAAAATATTTTTGCCCTTCTTTGCCTTTAAAGGAGTACCCTTTACCATGCTGATGTTGCTACATGCCTTACTTCTTGCCTATCTCACACTGCGAATTTTTTCTAAGCTCTATACTAAACATTAAATCTGTTACAAAAAAAAAAGAATTAAACAAAATGAACACAAAACGATCAGCTTTAAAAAGGACTCGTAACTGGAAAAAACGAATGAAAAAAGAATGTTAACAACAAATACTTTTTCACACCCAACCCAGTTCTGTGGAATCAGAATCAACGTTGAGTTTAAGCAAGCGAATGAGCCAATTGGAGTAAAGTGCCATGCAGATTTAAATTTTTCCCACTTGTGACGAATGCAGCTATCGATTTTTTTTAACATGCTAGTTAACTCTCATGCTGTGTCAATAGAATCTTCCTGCCTATTGGCTCTGGCTCTCACTCTGGCCAGTACAAAATGGCTGCAAACTACATGAAAACTGCCGTAAAAGCATGAAAAAATCAATTATTTCCAATATCAATGTAAGTCAGTCTTGGTCTGCTAACTTGGAGCATGTGCATGTAAATTTTGGTGCAAATCTGTCAAAAATTGCGGCTGTGCATTCGTTACACATCTTGCCTTTTGTAGATAGATTTGACCTTGTTCGTTTTATGTCCTATGGTTTCCAGTAAATAAATACCATCTCTCTAGCACTTCTCCACACTGTGTCCCTTCAGGATCTGGGAGATCCTGGTTCCTTACAATATTCTATCCCTTGTGGCCCTAAGCAGCATGTTTCCTTTTGCTGAGACTATCTTCCCAGTTTCACAATCCATCACACAAGTCAGGGGGCCCGTTTCCTTCCCCTTGCTCTCTTACTCTCAATATGGCTTACAGTTACATCAAGTTGAACCACTTGTTCCCATATGATCAACAAAATTAAGCAATGTCAAACCTGGTCACTACTTAGATGGGTGACCACTTGGAAATATCAGGTGCTGTATGCTTTGGAGATGTGGATAGTGTAATAGTGGCTCAGAATTATTAATCAAGGAGATGAGTTCTAATTCCAGTTGGGTTTGTTATATTCACTTATGCACAAATATCCTTGGAAAAGGTATGAATCTACCTCTTCTCCCCCAGCTACGGGTTAATTAGTAAGAGTTATATCATCAAAACCATTATTATCTCAAAAAAAATTTTTTTTTAATAACATTGGATACAAAATATTTACATTAGGTGTTGATATGCTGCTAAACAAAAACAACTAACCAATCAACTTGCTCGATATGACCTGTGAGTGTTAAGTTTTCCAAGTCCTTCTTCATTATGTGTCCAAGAAACTTCAGCTGTTGCTTTCTGATTTTAAATATAAGTGCTCTTTTTGCTACCATTTTAGCATCATGATTATTGTCATGGAAAGTAAAGTCAGCGAGTTGAGTTCAAATTCTAGCCAAGTCTCCCTCCCCTAAGTTACAGATTAAATAGTACTTAAGCCTTTAGTGGTAACCAAATCAAAGAGAAGGTGAACTCTAAGTTCTAAACTATAGAAGGCAACAGGAAACCACTTCACTGTTTTTTCTAAGAATAATCATATAAAGCATATAAAAACTGGAGTGTTATAATTGCCTACTTTGTGTAAGAACATGGCAGTTTTAAAAAATAAGTCATTTTTAATTGTCTTAATTTCTTAGCTGAATTATTATGATCCTTATTAATTTTTCCAATAAAGAATTGGATGTGCAGGTGGTGTAAAGGATAGCGACTTGGAACGAGAAATCGAAGTTCAGGTTCCAGTCAAGTTTCATTACATTCATTTTCATGCAAATATCCTTAAAAATGGAATTCATGAATCCTCCAAGCTATGAGTTAAATAGTAGGGCAGACTGGTTACCATCCAAGGCTGAAGAACCCAATCTAGAAAAACATCTCAAAAATCATATGTACCCCTGGCGAAGCACATAATACACAGCTAATGAAAGAATTATAGAGTTTACAATGACTCAGTTGTCCCAGCTGTGATTGGCTTTAATTGATATTAATTTTTGACATCTGTCTTTCATGTCTATCTCAATTTTTTATCGTAACTCTTAATGTAAAAAAAACAAAAGACCCATAAATCATAACAAAGAAACTAAAGTAAAATACAAAAAACAAATGTTACTAATGAAAAATGGTTGGTTGATTTTGTTTAGTACCATATCAATGTCTATTGGTTATTTAATGCTGGAATCTAAATATTTGTACATAATTTTATACTTTCAGGGTAAAGGTTTTTTTTTTTTTTTTTTTTTTTTTAGATATAGTTTGTAGATAATGTATTGTTGGTAATTTTACTATAAAAATGTATTTTTATATATTTTTTTTAGTGTTGCATTGATTGTCATTTTACTATAAAAATGTATTGCTGCTCATTTTATTATAAAAATGTTCTGTTGATTTTTGTTTTGAGGTTCACTATTTGCCCATAGCTAGCACCCTAACAGGTGCTACTACTACCCCGGGTCATTGTTGACTTGTGAACAGCAGCAGTTAAGAAGTGGGTTCATACTCCTCTAAACTGCCAATCTCCTGAACAGAGGCCTTGCTGCTGGATGTAGTTTATTCTCAGACCGAGGATAAATTAATGAAAAGGAGAATAAACCAACTGAAATTATAGAAAATGAAAACTGAAGATGGTTTAAGAAAAATTATTAAATATTGTTTCATCTCAAAATCTCCGTTAAAGCTAAAACCAATTTTCCTTTCTTTCAGGTTGATGAAATAATGATGTCTGTAAAGTCTGCCTTTAAATCTGCTTTTGAACAAAACAAGCTCCATATGAATCAGATCTGCACTATGTGTCCCTTGCACCAGTTGCAGAAATTATGCCAGGAAATTAATGGTAAGTGAATCAGTTTGTTTTTAATTCTAGCAGGAAACCTTATCCGTAAATATTTGTTAACATACATTGGGAATAGGGCTTCATCCATCTTTCCACCAAACCAGCCAATGACTATTCCATTTTGTGTCCCTATTCTGGTTCATGTTAGTGTGCACCAAAAACTGGGAAAAACCTGCTGCACATTCACAAATAAAACACCATAGTGAGAAATAAGAATTTTTACCATTTACAATAACATAAATTAAGCATTTCATTCAGGGCTTTGCTTTTTTTGCTTTGGGTAAGTAGGTAGGTGACACTTGAAGCAACTTCTGCCCTGTCAGAGTGTCTGCTCAGCTCTTCCCTCTTACTACCTCTTTGCTCACCCCAACATCATGGTATGGGGTTTGCAACACAAATGGGCAGCATCAGAACTACCTGAAGGACAGTCTGTCTCCTGCCAAGGGTGGGCCAGAACTTGCTACTTTAATCCTATGACTGTTAATATAGACCAGCAACTGGAAAACAACATCCAACTTTGTCACTTGGCCCAAAAAGCTTTCTTTTATATATTTATTCATTTGTTTCCTTTTGGTCACGTGGATGCCACTTAGAAGACCTAACTTCAAAGATTTTATCTGCCAGCCATAAAATCTGAAACACTTGAAATTGAGATGGAATCACACCTTCCTCTTCTATGTAGGTTCCCCAATCCTAGTGTCATATATTGATATATCAATAAATTATATTTATGTGCATATATGTATGTAATAAAACTTATTTTAAGTAAGTTTGATTTTTGTATGTGTGTGTTCCACTCATTAAAAAAATCAAACTTGCTAGTCATGATCTGAAAGATGAACTTTGTATCCATTGATCAAGACTCAGATCCTAGTATCAAAAGGGTGACACTTGGCATCAGATATTGACTGGCTTTTCTTTCTCTTCTCCTGACTTCAGATAAAGTCAAAAGAACTTGTTTCAGTTGATCTAACATTTGTGAATTAATGCAACAAATTTGGCTTACTTGATAATTGTGTATTTCAAATGAATCAAAGCTAAGATTTTGAATGCTGATTTTCAAGGAAGGTAGGCTATCTACCCAGTTTTTCAGCCCACATTTGGTTTTTATGCCATTCTCAGTTTAGTAAATACCAATAAAACCACAAGCTTAACCACATTCACACATTTTTTTATATAAGGTGAAAAGAGTTCTTTTGTGTGTGTGTGTGTGTGTGTGTGTTTTGATTCTACATTGCCAGCCAATGAGGTTCAAAGAAGGATGGTCCTCACTAAGACCTACATGCTTCACTCACTTGAATCCATTTTTGCCCATCAATCAGAGAAAGCAGTTGCATACAACTGACATTTTAGATATTTCTGAAGAAGTTTAGCACTAACCATCATATTCATATGAAGGTCTTGATCTAATGAGACTAAACAAGAACATGTCGACTTTTTAGGCAAATGTTTTGGTTTTATAACAACTTGCAGTGTTGTGCAAAACTAGCCCAGCCTATTTTATGTTCAATTTCTTTTATCTCCTATACTAAATTTGTTATAACTAATCCATACACCAAGGTAATTGTAGTACTTGTGAATATACCTAATATATCTAAAACATACAGTTCCTAAGATTACAATAAAATTCAATGACAGTGCTCAGCTTCCACAGTCTCTGACAAGGATTGATATACTGGTAAAACAAACCAAACCAAAGTCTTTGATGTCAATCAGTGGTTAGTATACTGGTTGTTATAATAAACTTCCCTGATTAAACCCTCCACCCTTTAACAGAACTCTTAAAAAGAACTTTTACAACTCAGACAGTTGCTTGGCATGCTACAGTAGCAGTAATAATAGTAATACAGTAATGTTGGATAAAGCCACTATTCTGTAGTAATTGTTATCGTCAATTCATTACACTGGTCTTGAAAACTTGTGTTAATGAGTTCAATCCTCACTCGGTGTTTCATTCCTCTCAATACTTTGGTCATTAGTAAGATATAACTGAATAATCTTTTTTATTAACTTTATTCTGATTCCAATGAACTCTAAAGTTATTCACTATAGATATTTGGAAAATTTATTGCTTATGTAGTTACAATAAGTCTGCTATTTGTAATCAAAACAATTTTTGAACATAACATGAGGTTGGTTTTCGATTGCACAAACACTCTTTGGAGCTTCCTTCTGAAAGTTGGTCCCATATGAGAAAAGTGGATGACAAAAGATTACATTTATAACATTTTATACAAGTGTGTGTGTGTGTGTGTGTGTGTGTGTGTGTGTGGTGGGGGAATATAATCCCATGAAAGCCAGAAGACAAAAGAATGCCAGATGTAAAATAGAGCTGAGAGAATCTATGGCAAGATACATCTGGAGGAGGGAGACTCATATTCCTGTCTTTGAGATGAAGTCCAAAGACTACTTAGGGAATATCACTGGAGAATAAGAAAGGATATGAATTAATCTGATAGTCAGGCCAGGGTTGATTTCTCTGCTCAATAGATAGACTTTGAGAGCATCCTCAGTGAATAAAAAAATGGAATCATTTTTCTAGCTCCTGCTGCAAGGAATAAGCTGGCATATATGCTATATTTCTTTTTTTTTTTTTTCTAACTGTATAATAAATCTAAAACATTGTGTTATATATTTTGAACAATTCTTGAAATGATGAACGTTCTCATCAAAATTATAAGATACTAGCAGTATAACCCATCTTTGACTGGGTCTTTCATTACTGGGAATTTTTGACATTCAGTTGGATCAGTTTAAGTTTAAAGTCAGCCCACCCAAAAATCAATATTAGTAACAACAATTGGGTGCAACTGAGGCACATCTCCAAATGGGGGGGGTAACAATTTGAATGGTGGGGGTGGCCCTGAAAAGGGCAGTGTTTGCGTTCTCAATCTTGCAAGAAAGGAACCTTTTCCATAGACCATCATAATAATAATAATATACGCTAATTTTTATTTGTAATATAATTTTTTTATAATTCTAATGTTTTTGCATTGGATCTCAACTCTCTAAATTGATTGTACGCTGTTTTTTACAGATATTAAATTTTGCCTTTGATTTATGCGCAAAGTGTAAAAAAATCAGTTTTTTCGATTTTTCACCTTCAAGGTTGTAATTTTTCCAGGTAATTTGGGCTCAAAACTGGCACTGAAGAATTATCTATCAAACAAAAAAAAATTCATCAAAATTGGATGAAAACTGTGGAAACGCATAAACAACATCTGGTCATACATACATACACACATTTTGAGAATTATAGATATTTTAATCTACTTCAAAAGGACAGGATGGCTTTGTATGTGTGTATATATATATATATATATATATATATATATATATATATAAGGAGGCATGGTGGAGTAATGGATGTGGCTTGGATTGAGTAATCGGAGAGCCAAGTTTGAATTCCAGTCGAATCCAGTTACATTCACTTACATGCTAATACCCTTGAGAAAGGTGTGAATCCTCTTCTTCCTCCAGCTATGGGTAAATAGCAGGACAGACTGGGTTCTATAGCCTTGGGTGGCAACTGGTCTAGGAGAAGGACAACTCTGAATTCAAAACCTGCAGAGGGTCGTTTGGGGACCTTATGGCATGTAGTGCACCAAGTCTCTGTAATCGGCCCTTGAAAAAGGGTGGATGGTCCTGCACGAAACCTTCACCACTATAATCAAATCTCATGTGCTGTTGTTGGGCTGTCAGTTTCTTAGGAACTGATCTGCTTGACCCTCATACATCAAATTTGACGGGAGAGTCATATATATATATATATATATATATATCCAGAATAAAGCCCACAAACATACCCCCTCCTTTTTTTCTTTTTCTTGAAAAGAGGTTATACTTTGCCAATAATTTACAATTGCTTGAGATGTATTGATACGCATTGAAATACAACTGCAAGTGTATAGTGATTTTGACATGTTTTTGGTGTAATATCCTAAAATTATATATATATATATATATATATATATATATATATATATATATATATATATATATACAAAATAAGTGTTTTAAACAGCTGTGATATATATATATATATATATATATATATATATATATATGACAAAAAAATAAGTGTTTTATATATATATATATATATATATATATATATGACAAAAATAATATGTTAAAAACAGCTGTGATATATATATATATATATATATATATATATGACAAAAACATATATATATATATATATATATATATATATATATATATATATATTGACAAAATAAGTGTTTTAAAACAGCTGATATATATATATATATTATTGTTGTGTATGATACACCTAATTTACATAAATACGGACCGACCATATAAATATGGGTTGGTACCGGAAGACGGGGGAAGATAGTAGAGATTAAGAAATTGAATCCAGAGATATTTAGTCAACCCATTATGCAGGAACAGTCTTCCCAAGAATATACCAAACTAACTGTAAATATTGTGTACCTATTCTTTGTTTCAATACATTTTGTTAACGTACATTTTGTGTTGTATTATTCCATGCTTATTTAAGCTTCAACATATATATATATAATGCCTGTTTAAAACACTTATTTTTGTTCAACATGGCGTGTAAATTAAATATTCGGCAAAAAATCGCATTCGTCAGTAACATTTTAAAACCTCATAGAACGTAAAGTTCTTAAAGCAAACCTGTGCCAGACTGTTTTCCTGAATCCTTGATGACTTGGCTATCTGAATATGTCAACATCAAGATGAAATAATGGAAACTGACTGTGAAAAACAATTATGAAACAACAAGGTTTCGATCAATCAGTAAACTTCTGGACCTTTTCGGACAATGTTATAGTATCCAGACGGCTATTGTTTGCACATGGAATTATTCACTGGTAATTAATCTTCGATTTGGCTGTGGAAAATGTCACTTGGCAGTTAGCATTAAGAAATTATGCCCAATTTTCTGAGAAAAATCCCTTTTTTTTTTTTTTTTTTTTTCATGAAAAATATTTATTTTCACTTCAAAGTAATATCGTTCAAACTTCATCCCTTTCTCCTTAATTTGGCATGAACATCATTGAATAAAAGGAATGGTTAAAGGCCCGGCAATGGGAAATACGAAAGACATGAGGTGAAAAAAAAACAATGTCGTCTGCTAAGTGTTGTTGTCATCACCGGGTCATGGGGTGTTAAAACAAAACACATCAAGCCATTGTTAAAAACATAGGTTTGAAAAAAAAAAAAAAAAAAAAAAACCTTATATCAAGCCCTACCAATGTTGACTTTTTTTTTTTTTTTTTTTTTTTTCACTCTTGGCTCTTATCCGGGAGTGGTGGGTTTTATTACAAGCTGACAACGTTTATTGCTGGCTGACCTTTTACCCAGACATGTCAAAGTCAATTTGTCTTAATTTTACTTTTGGTTTCTGATGGTCAGAAATTGCAGATAACTCTTTCGCCTTTTACTAAAGGGCCAGGTGTCAATTTTTTTAACCCCTGGCAGTCACATAATTGAAAATTACCAATGGACTTTGTTGCATTTTGACCCCCTTCCTTTGATGTCCTTCAAAACTCTCAATTTTATGCCTGAAATAGTTTGATTATGATTTAGGCTTTCTGTTTTTCCAAATAAATGGTTAATTTCCCATTAATGGGGAAAGGTTTTGTTTAGAACTAGAAAAAATGCAAAATTTTCACTATTTTTTCACATTTTATTTACGGAAATAAAAATTTGAGTTATTTACACCAGCCAATTTTACTTTTAAATGAAAGAATATATCTTTTGCTTTCAGAAACTAGTTTCATGGGGTTCAGATCAAAAGTTTCCTTGATATTTGTTTAGGTGATGATAAAACAGTCATTTTTCAATATTTTACCCCTATAAAAGTATGAAAATCCATTTTTTGAGAGAAAATAAGCTGTGACAAAATTACTTTTGCCATTTTTGTGATGATTTTCACTTGGGAAAGAAAATTTTTACCATAGGAAACCTGAATTGACTTTATTTAAGTTAAGTGGGGCTATAGGAAACCTCAAACACCTGTGAGATATAGATATATATATATATATATATATATATATATATATATATATATATATATATATAGATAATATTAGTGGAAAATATACATACATATGCAAAATATATAAATACCCATACATGTATATTTTCAGAAAAAAATTCCAAGAGGAAGAATCCAGGTAGAACTCAATGTCTAGGACAGAGTAAGGATATAATAAAAAAAAGGCTTAAATTCCATGGTCATAATTTATTCCATTGGAATCGTAAATACGATCCAATTCATCAGACCTACAAATTCAAAAAGACAACAGAAAAAAATCAACTCCGGAAATAAAAACAGAATTTAGAGAGAGTGTAAGTATGAGGAGGAGGGAGATTAAACCTTAACGGAGAGAATTTTAGGAGATATGGGAGGAGTGGTTTAAATAAGAGAAAAGAATGAATGTTGACGGATGTCTAATGCATAAAGATACATTTCGTGGTGACATACACACACCATAGACAATTTAATGTTAGAATAAGAGGGAGGGAAAGACTAGGTGAGGGAGAGAGATGGGACAAAGGAAAGTAAAATTGCATTTACTTAAAGGGCCGCTTTGTAATTGAGAAAATTTGACAAATTTAATATCGACTACAGGTTACAAATCAAATATAAATATATGAAGATAATATAACGATTATCTAATCCAGCAAGGACCTATATTTCTATGTTCAAAAACATATGCGAATACACACAATAACATATACATGTATATACATACACATAGGCGTATATATATATATATATATATATATATATATATATATATATATATATATATATTAATGGACTCTCCCATTGGTTTCGACGTATGAGGATCTGACAGCTTATTGATTCAGTTATGAAAGTTTTGTGCGATAATCTTAATGGCATTTAAAACCCACTAGTGATTTACAAAGGAAGCCACATATGGAGCAAGTGTGAAAAATATATATATACTATATATATATATATATATATATATATATATATATGGGTGTTTAAGAGGTTCACTTTTTGAACATGAAACCCAAGTTCAAATCTTACAATGGTTGATTGTTATCAGACTGAAGAGGCAATCCCAGCATGCCAGCACCTTTAGAAAGTGTCTGATTGTTGTGCTAGCATAAAGTCACAAGTCATTGTGACCTAGGATTTGATCATGCTGTCTTTGTTCAAATTGTTGATCATGCCAGATGACATGCTCTCTCCCTCAGAAAATATAAGTAGTCTGTTCAGTATAGTTGTAGTATAAACCACAAGGTGGGTTCTGTGAGTGTTGAACAAACACAAATATGCCTGAGCAGGTGTCTGCAACAGGTATTGGTTACCAGACAGCTATACTCAGAAAGTGCTAGCTGGCCATTTTATATATATATATATATATATATACACACACACACACACAGGTAAAATGAGAACAAATGTCTGTAACATTTAATTTAAAAGAGGGCTCAATACAGAGGAAAGCTAAATATTGTTTATTTTAGGATATTAAAATAAAATCATGTTAAAAATTGCTATACAATTGCAATTATGTTTCAATACAACATGTGTATCTCCTCAGGCAATGCTAAACTATTGGTGAGTGAACAATTCTTTTAATTTCAAAAGCAGAATACTCCCTTTTTTTTTTTCTTTTTTTTTTAAGAACAAAGAAAACAGAATTAAAAATAGGCTAGTGGGTTTTATGATGATTAACCAATTAAATGTGACCTATGCTAAAATAAAACTTTTTATTATTAAACTTTTTTAAAATCCTTAAACTTTAGTTTTTTCTAAATTATCTATTGAAAAAATTAATAGAATTCAATTTTAATGATTGTTAAAAGTAAAATATTTAGATTTTTTCAATCAGGAATATTTTAAACTTTAACTCAAAGTTGCTTTTAAGTAGATATTTGTTCTTAATGGCAAATAAAATTTGGATTTTCATTTGGTACTCTAAACTTTGATCTTAAATAAGGTGCGATTTTGTGGCCCTATGGTATCACTTATTTACCAAAATATTGATAAAAGAATTAAAATAGAATTATTTAAAAAAAAAAAATGTATTTTTGTTGATGTGTTAACATTAAAAGAATAATTAGTTTGAAATGATTTTACTTGAAATTGTTTTGTCATAAACTGAGAGAACTCTTATAAAAAAATAACTGATCATATCAATTGTAGTAATTGAATGTTTGGAAATAATTTGTTCTACGTAGAAAAACTAGTTTTCTTTCATTGTTTTTGTTCAGACTTGAGTGCTTCATCTGCTGTTGACCTTTTGAAGCAAAGAATTCATCAATTACCGGAGAAAGATGCTGCTGAAATGCACAATCGATGGAAGGTAAAATTCTTACCACATGTCTTATTTCCCACCATGCGCACTTAAAAAAAAAAATATGCTTAACAAGAAATCTCCCAGTATCTTACGGTTTATTTTCAGTTGGCCTTGTAGTAAATCTTATACAAGATTAATACCTAAACACCTGTGTTTGGTACACTAATGACTTGAGCCCAGAATTAAATGCAGAGGGAGTGCAAAAGTAAGTATACAGTGATGAAAAACAAAACCTGCACACAAAACGAATTGTATTGATTATTGAAACATATCAATAATAAACTTATGAATTCCTCAAATGTTCAAACTGTTTGCCCCAGCCATCATTAAATGACCACTTTACCTGCAAAACAGAACAAAAACAAAATGTGTCAGGTAATACTTTGGTGATGACATTTCATGAGTGATAGATTCATTGGCCTGTACAGCTTTAGTAATGCTATAGCTTGTGAGTAAGCCTATAAACACCAAACAAGTTAGTCTATCAATGCAAATACACTGCTATTCATGAGGTCAGTTGCTGCTTAAGAAGTAATTCAATATGGGAACATCAAGTGAGTAGCCTACATTCTTGGATGAAAAATAATAAATTGTGGATGCTGCAAAGTTCATAGAAATTGGATTTTTTTTTCTAGATATTCCTTGCCAAATTATAGGTGTATTGTAAACAAGTGCATGTCATATAACAGGAAATAAGGTAATAAAGGCCCTGTAATCTGAAGAAAATAATACTTAAATGTGTAATTGTTGGTTCCAATCCATATAGCGAATGACTGCAAAAACATCCCCCCTCTCCAAATTTATAGATAAAACTTACAGATGCATGCTGGGATTTTTTTTTAACCAACAAGACAGGCCACTTCTCGGTCTCATCCACCATATTTCTGTTTGTCTTAAACTCAGACTGCTGTGATCACTTGTCTGTATCCCTTTTGTATGTCAACATCATTCTTAGTTTATGAATATTTTGCCTTATTACTGTTGCTTTGTCTTACGTATATTGTTTACTTGCTTAATATTATTTTTGTTCTTCTCTTGTTATTGTTTATTTCAAACTTTGTCAATTCTGTTTGTTGGGCATTTCTGCCAATTACATCTAACCATGGCCAATTACTCTATAGTAATCTTTAAAATAACAATTTTTAATTTTTAAATAATTTTGGTGATCTCTGGAAATATTTATTTTTTTAATATTACTTCAAAAATAAAACTGGAATTTTTTTTCTCTAAATCAAATGATTAGCTTTGTTCTAGTACTTGGTTTATTTTGATAATCTAGATGTGATGTTACATATAAGTTGAAGAATTTTGGTGCTCTTTGCAGCAAGAAAATCCACAAAGCAATGAGGAACTATTGGAAGTTATGATGGTGTCACTGCGAAAACTTTGTGAACAGAAACAAAGGGAACATCATCATATATCAACTGGGAAGTGTATGGGTAAGCTTGAGGTCAGTAACAATTTTTTATATTGATATGGATTACGGTATCTTGATGTCTTCTGTTCAAGCTTGCTAGTCAAAAAAAAAAATCCATCTATGGTGACTTTAGATCAAAGGTTACCATTTGCAAAATAGATTTTATTATCCTCTTTAGTTAATATTCTTGAATGATTACGTGACTGTATTTTACGACATGGGGTAACTTGATAACTATTGTTTTTAGAATTTTTTGTATGACTTATATGTGTTTTAGCTTCTCTTTTTGTTTTTTTGTTTTTAAGACTTTGTAAGATTTAATGGATTTATGTTGTGGTGTCTTGTATAACAGCTTTGAATGAGAAATCAGAGAGCTCAGTTTGAATTCCAGTCAGGTTCATTGCATTCACTTATGCACAAATACCCTTGGGTAAGGTATGAATCCATTTCTTCTCCCCTGAATAGCAGTACAGACTTGGTCGGCAACCAGTCTACCACAAAAAAGAAATAGCAACCTACTATGGGAAAATCTTCTGCAGAGTTATGAAACAAAAGAGACATGATTGCCTAAATGTGTATTGTGTATGACACTTAAATGATTGGAGATTTTTATTCTCTCTCTCTTCCCTTTTCACTCAACAGTGTTAAATTTTTCAACCTGCAACTCATTTCTATAACACCAATGTCAGACAGACATCTTTCTTGGGCCCAATACCTGTTGGTATCAACAACATTATTGATAATCACTCTCCATTGGGATTATCCATAGTTGTTGAAATCTATTGTTTTTTGTTATTTTTTTTGGTGGTGGGGGTTGTTTTTTTGTTATAGTATCTGCACTACATATCTAATCTATTGGATTCAGGATTGTGCTTATCCTAAACAGGTTGCAAACCATGGCTAGAGAGTACAGTATTCCATGCTATTTAACCCATACCTGGGGGAAGAAATTGATTCATACTTTTTCCAAAAGTACTTGTGCAAAAATGAATTTAACAAACTTTACCAGAATTCAAACTCTCCTCACCAATTTCTCATTCTGAGGTGGTAGCCATTACACAATCTGCACATCCTAAATATAAAACCAATATAACATATCTCTATCAGTTATGTAATCTAATCTTTACTACTTAGTAATTAGATACTCTGTTGCTATAATAACAGTGGCAATACTTGATATCTATAAGCAGATATAACTTCATGTTACCATAAAAGAATATTTCATTATTAAGTAGGAGTGATCAAGCTACTAATACATTTTACTTTCTTTTCTTTGTTTATTTTTACTGTTAATGATTTATAAAACAAATCTTTCTTATCTGCCATGATAGTTATATAAATAAAAATCTTTAATTACTCATGCAGAAGATAGAACCAATGCAATTGCAAAATGACTTAAATAGTACTGTCTTTTTTTTCTTCTTTCTTTTTTTTTTACCTTTTAGGTAAACTATTGTTATCAGACTTTGAGAAACTGCTAACATTATTACAGTTTTTGAGATTTTTCTTTGTTATTATTAAGAAAAAATAATATTGACATTTGAATTTATCATTACCTCAGGTGGATTTCAATCTGCCATTTGTACACGTTTTTCTTTCTCTATTCCAGTTCAATATTATGAACAGGCGATCGAAGATCTCCAAACTTGATAACTTAAAGAATAAAGCCAAGAAGAGTTTGACGAATTCCTTTGAAAGTTTAATTCGAGTAAGCAACAATTTTCTTTTTCTCTTATTCTTTTTATATTTTCAGGGTGGATGTGCAGGTGGTGTAATAGATATCAACACAGAAAATTAAATCAGAGAGCAGAGTTCAAATTCCAGGTTAATCTGTTACATTTATTTTTGCACCAATCCTCAAGGGAATAAGTGTGAGTCTATCTATTCTCCACCCAACACTCCATTTATGGGTTAAAAAACAGGATAAACTGAACTCTTTAGGCTGACCTGGTTGGTAACCAGTCTGAGAAGGAAAACTCTGAATTCAAACTATGGAGAAGGCAATGGAAAACTACTTCACTATCTTTCCCAAGAAGTCCTGGCAATTCACAGATAGTAAATAGAAAGAATCTGGAGTCATGATTGCCAATGTCATGAAAGGAACGTGGCATTTAAAAAAAAATAAATTGATTTTTTTTGATTTTTTGATTATTTTTTTTTTGCATAAACTGGTATTATCAATAAATTTATAAATAGCAAAATAAAATTAATTTAAACAAAATAAAAACAAAACAAAAACAAGAAACTGTTAATAAAAATATAATGCACATTTTATGACAAATGTAGCCACAAAATAAATTAAATGGTTTGGAAATTAAGTCAAGATTTTCTTGCCTGTATTGCTTAGTAACACGTAAAAAAAAAAAAAAAAAGAAACGACAGCTGTTGCATTTATTTATAGAGTGACCCTCAATATTTCTTAGCAGTTCAATCTCATATAATATTTCACATTCCTCTACAAAAATCAATAATGCAGTAACAGACAAACAAAACAAAAACAGCACTTTGATTCTCACTGCTAAGACACTAAGTGTAGCCATCACCAGAAGAGTTAGCCTTTTTTATGGAATTATAAGATGACAGAAAAATAGAGCCGTCCTGGGTATGATGATAAACTACATCTGCATCCTGGGTAAGACAATAAACTACGTCCAACAGCAAGACCTCTGATCAGGAGGTTTTGAGGAGCGTGGAACCACCTGTTAATTGCTGATGTTTCCAGGTCCACCCTGACCCAGGGTGGTAGCACCTCTTAGGGTCCCAGCTATGGGCAAATAGTTAACTCCGAAACTCTGGTAAAAACACTATGAAAGTGTAAAAATAGGGCTTAATACCAGAAATACTTTTTTTTTTTTATAAGAAAAAAAAATACCGGCAATACATCTTTTGAAGAACAAATATTACCAGCAATACAATTTTTGAAAAACAAATTTTACCAACAAAGGAAAATTCTTACCAGAAATAGATTTTTGGAAAAAAACATCACCAGCAATGAAAATTTTGTCAGCATTAAATAACCCATGGAGGTTGATATGCCATAAAACAAAACAAACAAACAAGGAAAACAATTTCTATAAGACCAGCTATGAGTCAAGATATGACATGGGAATTGATTTGTTTTTTTTTATGGCTTATCATTGTTATTAATTAATTAAAATCTGAAAATAATTATAGGATTCTATTTAAGAGCACTAGGAATCTGCAGCTCCCAATATTTACCTAAAGAAGAAATATAGCTAGAAAACACCTTTAAAAACCTCCAATACCCTTGTTATTTCATCCACTATGCTAAGAGGAAAGGCATACAAAATATACAACCAGAAAAAAGATAACCATGACGATAAATTTAATAAAAACAGACATTTAAATACTAACTCCTTAACATCTACTATCCAAAACAATTTATCCAACCCTAACAATATCAAAATAATTACAACCACATCCCAAACTGTTATGGACATGATTAAAATATCCATAACAATAATAATTCTGAAGCAGTTATATATAAAATAACCTGTCACAACTGCTCCTTACAATATATTGGGGAAACTTACAGAAATTTAAAAAAAACATGTATCTGTGAACACAAAAAGGATCTTATACATAACAATTTATCAAATGCATTAGAAATAAGAAATAAGTTCAATCACAACTTCAATCTAAATAATACAACATTTATTAAAAAAGAAAGTAACGTATTTAGATTGAAAATTTTTAAGAGTACAACTATCGAAACTTATCAAAATATAAATCTGCACCCTGGATTTTTTCAAATATCTCCATTCCTGAAATAAATACTCATTTTCCAAGCCAACATATATATCTATGTTTTTTTTAATTAAAAGAAAATGGTTAAATTCAAAACCTTCTATTATTTAAAATATACAATACATAAATTAATCTCAAACAAAAATAATATAAATAATAATTACATTTATAAAAAAAGAATTCAGCAACATATAATTTTACTCACTTTCTTTTATTTTCATTAAAAATTACATGACTAAACATTCTCCATAATTTATCTTGACTTTCAGTTTGCCTGATATATATTTATGAGTTCTTGAATTTTTAAATTCTGAAAAAATTACAGCATTTTTATTTATTTATAAATACTTGTTACAAAATAAAATCCTTACATTTGCTTTGATAAAGTCCATCTGAAGATGAAACACATCAGTTAAGAAAAGTTTTCCTTTTTCTTTTTTCTTTTTCTTGTCTTTATTCATATTATCTTTTTACAGATATATTTTTACTTATATCTGAATTTTTAGTTATAATATTAATTATACACATAAGAAAGAGAAGAAAAGTTTGTTCGGTAAGTGATATTTAACTTCAAAATCTGATTTGTGAGAAGTGGGTTGAGGTAAAAAGCTTTTAACACCCCCTCCCCTAAAAAAAATATACATGTTGCAACAGAAATATCCCACATGTAATGGTAATACATTCCTTTGTGGTAATAGTGGTGTCATCTCTTACCATTATGTGGGAGGTATTTCTGCCGCAACCTGTATTGCTATTCTCTCAAGTTCTGTCAAAAGTCTGATTATTGAAAATTTCTTGATAAAGAATTGAAATTACTTTATCAGAAGTTTGAGATATTTCCTACATATCATCCACTTATTCATTTGTAAGGAAACCCGAATGATTGAATAAAGAAAATCCTGGTTTTTAGTCCATATGCTAAGGTAAAAAAAAAAGGATTTTATTTAATGTGGCAACTATTTATTTTTCAATATATTCTTCTTCCTTGTCAATGCACTTAATTCAGTAGTAAATATTAATCACTTAGGATAACTTTCAAATTAAAAGTCAATAACCACATGTCAGGTATATTTACTCGGTCTCCCCTAGATGTGGCAGAAGGTCGTTTTAACTTGGGAAGCGCCATACGCATACTTATACATATGGGAAAAGAACAAAAATTGGTTTTTGTCAAAGACCGACCACTGTCATGCTGGTATCACTATTACACTGATCCAACCTCTTTAGTGCAATGAGGAAGGTGCTGCAGGACTCGAATCCCCGGAGATGAGCAACTTCTCCCATCTAAAATGAGGAGAATAACTCTACTTACAGCACAGGGGGCGTTAACCACGCCTCAGTAAACCCTCATTGGCGATGGTTAACTCCTGTGCCAAACCACGTATCAGGCGTAATGCCTCCATACATACATACATACATACTTGCACAATCTTTTGAAGACAGGTAAAATATATACTAAATAATGAATTCTCCCTATGGCAAGGAAAACGTAATCATTTTTTTTTCTTTTTTTTTTTTTTTTTTTTTACAATGACAGGGACGGAAAAAAGAAGAGGCTCGAGATGCATTTCGACAGCGGAGTGGTACCACAGACAGTGAAAGCAGTTGGACAGCACAATCATTCGTAAGTGTTTTAGTTTCGTTTTTTTTCGAAAATACTCTTAAAGGCAGTAAGAGTTATTTCCCATTCACCTAATATACGTTCAATATTCAATGTTTCCCCTTAAAATTAAACTTTATTTTTAATACTATAACTCATAACTCTATTTTTTTATTTACAATTACAGCACCAGTAGCTGTTTAGAGAATTGTTGAATGACTAAATGTATTTCAATACCCTTCGGCAAATTAATCATTTTTCGTTTTGTTTTTCTGATTAAAACTTAAGTTTTTAAATTTGATTGTTAAATATTCAAATACACTTTAGTCTTTAATCATTCAACAATTCTTAGAGAATTACTCCAGATGCAATAATTCACTGAATAAATATTTTCTGGGTCTAATTTACTATTTTAAAATATAAAATAATTTATTTCAATTAATTTTTGCAATACCTTTAATCAGATAGTCATTTTCAGTTAAAATTAAATTTTTATTTTTTTAAAATTAAAGTCAGTAAATAAAAACATGTGAAATACAGCATTTTAGTTATTTTGAATTGTATGTACATTTTAAACAAAATCCAACTCCTGAGCATTCCAGATGCTATGTAAAAGATTGCTATGCCTTTTAAGTTTTTTTTTTTTTTCCATTTGATGAAGAAATCTGCATATAGGTAATGTTGAAATTAAGCCACTCACTATTATGATTTAATTTTAAAAATAAACTATAAAGAACAACTTTAAATTTAGAGCTTTTTCAATATTTTGGTAAAAACAGTCACTTTTTAGCTTTTAATGTTTTAAGTTATTTTCAATTCTAATTCTGTCTAATTCAGCTGTTCTCTTTTGAAATGACAACATTGTTTACATTAATATTATAATTTTAAAAATACGTAAAAATAGAACTAAATTAGAAGTCATTTGAATTATATTTTTATTCTAATGCATAAAAATGTACAAGTGTTTTTATTAGACAAAAGGAAGAATTTACTTTATCTTGAGATTCTTTAAAAGTATAAATACCAATACAAAAAAAAAAAATTTATGTATAGATTGGAATTTCTCTCTAGGTTTAGAGTGGCATCTGTGCAGTCTAGGAAAAGTGTTGTATGCCTGCAAAAAAAAGCTATATATATATATATGAAAAAATCTATGACAAAGTGGAAAAAGTTTTCTTGTGACATGTTTTGTCCTTTAGGACTTCATCAGAATAAATTTGTTATGTTGGTGTGATTACACATGTGCACAAATGAGTGATGTTGGAAATTCTAAATTTTAATTTTTTTTTTCTCAGCATCCCTTATTCATGCACATGTGTAGTTGCACCAACATAACAAATTTAGTCTGATGAAGTCCTAGAGGACTGTAGAAACACCTCATCACAAACCAAAATGTTTTTTTTATACACACTTACAAATATGGTTGGAAAAATTGAACTGACTTAATTTTAAATCTCTGATCAGTTCTCTCAAAGTACAGACATTATATTGTACACTCAATTTTACTGAGAAACTGTTACCTTGTCATGTTTTTAATAAAATCTAAAAATTAAAACACTCACACAGACATTGTGTTAAATATGAGGGTCAGCTGAAAAGTTCATAGGCTGACCAAGATATAAATGTAAGTAGACACACCAGTTGGTAGATTAAAAGACATACAGGTGTACTACCAGAATACAACTGCTGCATGTCTTTTAGTCTACCAACTTTAGTGTGCCTACTTTATATCTTGGTCAGCCTATGAAATTTCCAGCTAATCCTCATAGATATGGATGTTGTTATAGAATAATTAAAAATCAAGATATATAAATAGCAATAAAAATAATAAAAAATGTATGTGAAAATGTGAAAAAAAAAAGATTAAATATTTAAATAATATATAAATTAAAAAATTAAGTTGAACATTTGTTAAAATTAAAGACAATGTAGTGTCACCTGTGCGACAAAAGAAATAAGATAAAGCAAATGGAATGAGAGGAAGACCAACTAAGTTTTATAATAAACAAAAAAAAAAGGTTTTATTATAATTTTACTGATTTGGTCAGTGGCTAAAAAGGTAAAAACTAAAGGCTTACTGGTAAGGATTTAGAAATACCTCAAAATAACCTTTTTGGGGTGTTGTGGGGGTTTTTGTGGTATAGTTTACATATCAAATCAGTGAAAGGTAGTAAACAGACTGTCCTGAAGCAGATATCTACAACAACTAACTTTGCCAGCCAACTCGCTTAATTTTGGCACCAACCAATGAATATGAATACCCTGGATGAAGACTTTCACTTTGTATGGTCATCCAATCACATCCAAAGTTCTTTGAAGTCTTTGATCTAAATGACCCATCCATAAAAATAGATTTTTTTTAACTGTAGAAAATATTTCAAAATACAAGAAAAACAGTTACAATGATTGAAAGTAACCTGCTAAAAACCTTGAATAATTGAATAATGACTTGATAATAATGGCTTGATAATGACTTGATAATAATGGCTTGATAATGACTTGATAATGACTTGATAATAATGATTTGATAATGACTTGATAATAATGACTTGATAATGACTTGATAATAATGGCTTGATAATGACTTGATAATAATGGCTTGATAATGACTTGATAATAATGGCTGGATAATGACTTGATAATAATGACTTGATAATAATGACTTGATAATGACTTGATAATGGCTTGATAATGACTTGATAATAATGATTTGATAATGACTTGATAATGACTTGATAATAATGACTTGATAATGGCTTGATAATAATGGCTTGATAATGACTTGATAATAATGGCTTGATAATGACTTGATAATAATGGCTTGATAATGGCTTGATAATAATGACTTGATAATAATGGCTTGATGATGACTTGATAATGACTTGATAATAATGATTTGATAATGGCTTGATAATGACTTGATAATAATGGCTTAATAATGACTTGATGATAATGACTTGATAATAATGACTTGATAATAATGGCTTGATAATGACTTGATAATAATGGCTTGATAATAACAGGTTGATAATGACTTGATAATAATGATTTGATAATAACAGCTTGATAATGACTTGATAATAATGATTTGATAATAACAGCTTGATAATGACTTGATAATAATTATTTATTATAATGATTTGATTGACAATAAAGAGAATATTTTTGCCTTTATTCTTTAGATAGTTTTTGTCTGAATATTTTTTGACAATGCTTTTTGTTCATTGTATTGTTTTCATTGATTTATTTATTTATCTTATTCTAATTCATTTGTTCCATGTTTAAAAATTTCTTCGTTTTTTTTAACTTTTCACATTATTATGCCTTTCATTATTTTTTTTTAATTTGCTTCAAGAAAAAAGAATTTCAAAATATACATAAACAGTTTTTGTTTATCTTAAAATTGTAGGATTCTTCTGCTCCAACAACTCCTGAACTCTCACCCTCTGCTTCACCCATGTCCAAAGAGCGCAGGTTCTACCTGCCCACTCCACCAGATTCTCCTACATCTGGTATCCGACCCCGCAGTTCTACAGTTGGTGCCATCCCCATGTCAACAGCTCGAGTTACAAAACAACGTCCAACACCACCTTCCAATGTTGGGGATAATAACTATGGGCAATACCAAGCAGAAAATTCACGAACACATTCTGTTACGGCAACAAGCCCAATGAAACACATGTAAGCATTTCTGGCTTTGTTTTTGAAATATTCTTAATAAACTTGTAAGGTTTCTAGGAGAGATTATAGTCACTGTAACAAGTTCTTCCCATGCAGTGACATACAGAAATTTGGTGATGCTAGTGGCCAACTCCTTGATTGTATGCCCCTAAGTAGTGGGGGTGCTATAGGGCCTGGTACCAAGAAATATGAGAAAGAAAAACATTTTAAATATGTAAAAACAGATGAAACATGAAATAAACATTTTATTCAAATTAAATGTAAACTAAACTTTTATTTCACTCTTTGATTGAATGCCCTCCCGATATATTTGCCTGGGATCCTTGCACCCTCTGCTCCCCCTCACACTACTGATCCCATGCAATGCCTGCACCCCTTTAACAATTGGGATGCTTACCAAATACTTTAAGACCAAAGAGAAAACTTATATTTAAAGAAGAAAGAAGAAAATTCTCTTTGTACATTCCCAGTTTACCAAAAAGAGGCAGAAGGTAAATAGCCCAAAATTTGGAAGTGTCGGACAGTTCAGCTGAGTTCCTAAAAACTAGAACAGATGAGGATTTCCAACATGCAGGAAAGAAAGCAAGAGGCAATGAGGCATTTTGAGCCAGTTTTGGGGCACACTTCTTAAGGACTATTACAGAGATACCATCAGGTCTACATGCTTTGTTGGGATCCAGATTAGAGATGATAGGAGAAACCATAGAAGGGGTTATATGCATATCAATCAATAGAGACACTGTTCTAAGTGGAATATTAAGCAAGGATACTTTAGATGAGTCAACAGTAGAGTTTGAGGAGAATTTACGGGCAAAGCATTCAGCTTTATCAGCAGAAGTTAACACCTCATTGATTAAAGAGGGGCGAAAAATAGAAAAGTTATTTTTATTTAATAGACTATTACAAAGCCACTAGTAATCACAAGAGCCAAAGTTGTTAGATGCAACAATATGCCTCATTGTCTCAGCAAACAGAGACTTAGCGCCTCTGAGAGCACATTTACATTTATCACATGCTGCAATAGGCATCTGTTATGATGGGAACTGTCATGCTGGTATAGCCGGAAATAGTGGTTCCTGTGGGCTATAGTGACAGAATATGCTGGTGTGAACCATGGAGAAGATTGAGGTTTCACCTGGTATTTCCGAGAAGGAATGAAAGCATCCATACCAGCTTTGAACCAAGAGGTAACCTTGGTGGCATAATTTTCAGTATGGAGGTTGAAAATGTCAGTCCAAAGGACATCTCAAAAAAGGAGTCACAGAGTGACTCTCAATCAGCATGCTTGAAAAGAGGTCTTATGAATAGGAGGTTCCTGTCTAATAGATGATTGGAACAAAATATCAATAGATACTACAGAGTGATAGAAGTTTCCAAGAGGACAGGGTTTTGAAAGTCTCAGCAAGAGCTTGGAGAGGCAGTAAAAAATAAATCGAGTAGAGAGGCCCATTGCTCGGTTTTGCTAGGGAAATGAGTAGGGAAATCCACAATTTGAGTGAGGGATTGAGCAATGGAAAAATTGAAAGTCTGAATGCCTGCAACATCAGTAACATTAGAATGCTTAAGGCATGTGTTGTGATGCACATTAAAATCACTGACACAAAGATGTTCACAGATGGATGACAAGAGAGTACCATTTCTATACTATCAGAGATTATATCTAATATACTGCAGTTCTGAGAAGATGGAGTGTGATAAAAGAAAGAAATAGTTAACAGTGTGTAATAATGAAAGTTGAAAGCACATGAAAGAGTTTTCTGAGGCTCTGTAACAGTTCCCTTGCCATTGGAAGATTAGCCTAGATGTAAACACCAAGGCCATGCATGTGAATGCTGGAATCTTTTCAGCAAAGAGGAAGATAGCCTGAAACAGAATTCATTGGTGGCAATGGAAGAATTTAAATTGGTTTTGCAAAGGGCAAAGATATTAAGCAACCATTCCAAGAGAAAGGATTTCTATATTGCAGAAATTAGAACATAAACATGCACATTGGCAAAGGAAAGGTTGAGTGGGAACAGATGTGTTTTTGTTTACTGTTATATAGACAATTTCTTCTTTTTTGTGGGGAGGGTTAGAAGACCTATTCTCTCTGACCCTTGTACTAAGTAGATAGGTTGTTTAGTCTAATTTCAAGAGTGATTATTGTATATTTTATTGCATCTTATTACCTTGTGTTCTCTTAAGTTTAATTATTGTGTGACAAACAGATCAAATTGTTTATAGATTATATTGGCTTGTGGAGGCTTTGATTAAACAAAAGATTTTTAAAAATTCAGCCTTTGAACTGAATTAAAGGGTCAGTTTGAAATTCCCAAGTTACCATATATATAACACATCTTAAAAATGATTGGATTGTACAAGAACTAAGATGTGAATATAACGAACAACATAATGTTACAGAATATAAAAACCAGACCAGGATAGCAAACTACTGGTCAGAAGACCCTGTAGATGTGGAATTCTGACAGTGATGGATGTTACAGAATATAAAAACCAGACCAGGATAGCAAACTACTGGTCAGAAGACCCTGTAGATGTGGAATTCTGACAGTGATGGATTGCCTTTGTCTAAGTTTTGGATATAAAACCAAAATGGCGTAAAAAGAGCCAACATGCTTCGTGCACCTAGATTCTTTAGAGAGGCTAGACAGCACATGGTGAAATGCTAAGCCAAAGAGTTGGCATGTGTTCCATCTTCCACATGCTACTTCTTAGAATCAATGCTACCACATCTGTGAAAAAGAAATTTTCCTCTGTTGATACAGTCTATGATGTAGGGACACAGGATGTAACAATAAGGACATTAGTCTAAATAGATTAATGTCTAAAAATCATTGTTGTAATACTGGCAAAGTAGCTTTTCACCTGCATCTGTTTAGGTCATCAAGTTTTTAAAAAATGTTCATTTCATGCATGTAAAGTAATGATGGGCTATCACTCTAATTGGCCATAATGGAAGAAACTTGATCTTTAAATACGTAATTTACACAATTATATACTTAAAGTATTTAAATATGTATAGGGTGCAGTAGGTAAGTTATCGTCATTTTATATTTTTTTTTTGCGTAATTTAGATAATTTATCTATCGCACCCTGTATGTACACAATCTTGAAATGCTAGATTTATTTGATGGAGTTATTTGTTGGTCGTGGGGGAGTACTTTTAAGGTGATTTTGTAGACAGTTATGTTTGATTTTCATTTTTGGGGGGGAAGGTGATGCTATCCCTCTCTAAATGTCTCAAGGATGGAGTATCCTATGAAGATAATTCACAAATCTCTCATAATAATCTAATAGTATAGATTAAGTTTATGTAGCATAGTGGCTATTGGTGCAGAAAGTGGGGCTGACATACTGAGTTCAAATTCCAACCAAGACTGCTGTGTTCAATTTCATACAAAATAGCCTCAGGAAGGTAGGAATCCATGGCTTCTCCCCATCAGTTACTGATTAATAACAGATTGGACTGGGCTCTCTAGTTATGGTTGCCAACCAGTCTAGGAGAAAGACAACTCTGATTTCAAAACCAGTTAAGTGTAGAGTTAGCAACACTACTCCATAAAACTTACTTGCTACAGAAACAACAGTAGCAACACCTAATGTGCTGAGGCTGTGGTCCTATATTCCACTGGGGAGTCTAAAAAGTTAACATACATACATACATATAATTTGATTAACTATTACATTATGGTAATGTGGATAATAACTGAGTCTATATACTAACAGGATGTGTTGTTCATCAAAGTTGATTTGGTTTAGTATAAGGTTACCCAATGAGGATTAAAGTCAGTAGTCTGTTGTAATAATCTTCCATCAACCCTGCATGCTGGCTATAATTCCACATTACACACAACAAAGCATCCATATAT